ACCCCGGGTTTCTATAAAGAATTCAATTCCACGGCGGTCGGTAGAATTATACGGCACGGTCCGCTGGCGGAATGATAATTCCAGTTTCAGCTATTTTTACAGGGTGTCACCGTGTTCGCCGTCGGCGTCGCGAGCGCAACCGTGCGACTGATGTCCGCATTTGGGTGGTTTGGTGTTGCTTTTGCAGATCCGAGTAGGAATTTCTGAGTCGCGAGTGTGATGCCTACCTCGATCCCTCGGTCCCACACCGGTAAGACTGAGAGGATGCGGAATTAGGTGAAATGTATTCGGGTTGGCAGGGTATCCGTTCAAGCCCGGAGGACTGATAGAAATTGATGCGGACAGGATTCATGGCATGTAGCGTCATGTAGGCCGAAAGTCCGACCCCGTTGAACCTCGCCCGTGTATATAAGGGTCCAATTTTCGACCCGAACATCCCATTCGCACAATGTTCTTCAAATTCATCTCCAGCGCCCTCCTCTTCTTGGCCGTCAGCCAGGTGGCCGTGGCGACAGTCTGTGAGTGCTATATCTCGTACGTGTCTTGGATGCGCGGTGACTGACGAGATTTACTTCGTGGATAGGTGGAAATCCCCCTGTACGTGTGTTTACGGTCGACCGAAAATTGATTTAATTCAAGGCTGGTGATGCAGCTGCCCGCATGCCCGACCTATGCTCCCTGTGTAAGTTTATATCTGCTGCTTTTCAAGGTACTGGGCTCGACGCTGATTCTCATCTCGTTATAGCCCCCGTGTACGATCTAGTTCTGTCACTTTATCCGGCTGATATTCTGAAATCCATGCCATCTCAACAGGTGCAACCAACGAGTTCTGCTGCCTCACACGCGGAAGCAGGCAAGTCTCGATCCTACAATCGATGAAATATCTTGTAAGCTGAACGCCTGCGCAGCTGCATTCCCACCGGCTCGGCCTGTCCCAGAATCGGAGTGAGCAACTAAAGAGATCTAGCGGCGTCCCGAGGTGGCGGTTGAATCGTCGACATACGCTTAATAGATGCATTCGCTACTAGTACCCACGCAAGGTTTCTTGAGTTGTTGCCTTTGGCTCTGAGTTGATGTACGAAATACCATTTCTTCTAACACCCTATGACATGGGTGAGACTTCGTGGACTCAACGCGAAATTTAAGACGTTCTGCCGCAGTCAGTAGTTTACCGCGCGCCCAGATCGACCTTATTACATAAACTGCGGAGTTTGAATTTCCTCCCAGGGTGGTTCCACCCTTAGCATTGTCTCGACAACATATCGGAGGAAGGTAAATGGTCTTGACTTGGATTCTGAGCACTTCTCCCTCCGCGGAATTTATGCCCCCTTGGTGCGGCCTTCTACAGTTGGGGTAGTTTAGATCGATCAGCCACGATGAGATAAGCGGCTGACATGATCCGGGAGACATCACGAAACGGCCGTCGGGCTCCCTGTTTCGTAAGGAGGGAGAGAAAGGCCACGAAACGGGGATCCCCCGTGGAATCTCCGTTTCGTGGTGTGGGGAAAGAGCCGTAGGCTTGGTCCACTCGCCTGCCTGTGGCGGGTGGCAGGAAGCAACTCGGGGTTGTGGTGTGCTCTAGTCTCCAACAGAAAGTTTGTGGAATTATCCCTAAATGTGTTTTACTTGGCATTTGCCACTGAACTTAGAGGAATGATGTCTCAGGTTACCTGGAAGGAGCAGACAGGCAGAAGTCCGGTAGTCCAAGCACCTGCAGGAGCAGCGGCCCAGGGTGCAGCAGCCCTAGGTGCTGGAGCTCAAGTAGTGGGTGGACTAGATGCGAAAAATGTAACTCCGGTCAGGTGGAGGGAATATTCTTTGCCTTTGACCAAGTTATCCAAATTGCTAAGGAGTGGTCTGGTAATGCAACGACTTCGGTCACCATTGTCCCTAAGTCCGTAATTCCTGAAAGTTCAGTGGTGGGGGCATCTCTGTATCCTAAAATTAAACAATGAATGACTGAAAAACTGGATGCTTTTACAAATGACATTGCTCTAGGAAAAGACAAAAGTCACTTGCAAGAGAAATGTATGATGGAGAATATTCAGGAATCTTTCGTGTCGTTAAAGAAGTCAATCAAGACTACTCTAGTTTCGGGTGATTGGTAGGGGAATTGCATCATAGCACATTTGTGCCAAGGCAATGCTATCCATGTGCCAGCTCCAACAAGCCCTGGTCCATCAACCCTTAAGTTGCCTAATAAGTCAACCCTGTTGCCTTGGTCAAAGCAAGTCCTGGCATCACAGGCCAAGGGCTTGGTACTATCTCTGACATCGGCTCTCCACACTGGGCTCAGAATGGTGATCTCTGTGATCGGCATGATCGGATCTTCGGAGTTGTTCGGACTTCTGCACCGTGCACAGTTCTATTAGCTAGAACTGTCCCACAGCTTCACAATTGTTCCTTGTACACACCACTGGTCCGTCTCATAGTCTGGATGGAGTGCATTGACACACCCTTGGTAGGATACATGTGGGTTGTTCCCAATCCCTTGGTTAGGGATGGTAAGAACACCTTTAGCTAATAGTCTGTTCTCTGCTTGACAAATCTGACCCATTGAGAGCTGTCATCCCCAACACTATTTGGACCACTTTGCAAATGTGTACATCCTTAGCTAGCAACTCAGGCCTTGTCCCAGCTCATAGTGAGTGATATAGCCATTATTCCGTGTGAAGCACCTGCTTAGCCAGCAAAATCAAAAGATTTCACCGCTGGTCACAGGGCCAGCTTAGCACCATCATCTCGACATATCATTCCATCTTCGGCTCCTTCCAGTTTCTGCCTACTCTCCGTACACGGGATTATCTTCCAGGACCGAAGGAGGACACTGTCCATCTCGTATTGTTACTCAACTCCAGCCGATGTATAGGCTGTTGTTGACAGTGTGGTAAAAAAGGATGGGAAAGGGTCCGGCTTATTCATTCCTCAGAACCTCTAAATGTGGTGACTGTAGCGCATCATTTTGCAGGGAGGGCTTGTGGAGCCATGTTGAACTTGTATTCGGGGTATGGCCACAGGGGCCTTGATAAGAGCTCTGGGGACTTTAGATACTTCCTAGACAACTTTTGGTACTCTGAGGTTAGTAAATTTACCTCAGGGTTGGAAAGACACAGTCCCTATATTCCATGATGATTTTACCTACATCCTGAGGGATGAAATTCCCACCAGCACTATTCCACATATTGATGACATCTAAATAACAGGACCAGGGAGCAGGTATCAAAACTTGGAAGGGGAATATGAGACAATTGTGTCTAACTCCGGAATTCGGAGGTTCATATGGGAACACTTTGAGAATCTGTAACATGTAGTTCAGAAGATCAAGGGCAGCGGAGGCACCTTCTCAGGTTTGAAAGCTCTGCTCTGTATGGATTAATTCCCAGTGGTAGGACATATATGTTCTGTCCAGGTTCATAAGCTAAATACCAAGCAAGTTGGGGTAATAATGTGGTGGCTACCCTTGGAAACAGTGTCTGAAGTCAGACAGTTCACAGGGACAGCAGGGATCATGAGGATGTTTGTCAAGGATTATGCTATTGTGATGTGGACTGTGCTTTCATAAACTGCCAAGCAAGGTGGTAACCCAGACTAGTTTTAGAAATGTGGGTCCTCTAAGAGGAATGTTTCTGTTGCTGCAAACAGTGCACCTCAGTGCTAGGTTTATTTAATTCAGAGTGTAGGTGTTTTTATAGCAGTGTGAGCCTTCTTTGGTAAAGAAGGGGTATTTTACAACTGGATACTGTGGTTTTAGCGCAATAGGACAGTCTTCTCAGTGTGCACCGTCGGACTGAGCTCTACAGCCTGGTGGAGAAGGGATTATTGAGCATGATGCTGACTCTGAATCAAGGACACTGAGGTGGAATATGTGTTTTTAGAGGGCCTCCTCGGTCATATAGTCCGACTCCAAAGGTATTTGGTGTGTAAACTGTCAGCTAGGGTGGAGGTTGTTTTTAAATAGCTTGGTTCCTCGGCCGAGTGCTCCCTTCTTTGAACCTCTTTCTTTATATGCCCTAACCAATGTCTCCTTCTCTTCTTCTCCTATCTGCCTGCTGAGGGCAAGGTAATCTGGGCAAGGCTAGCAGGTACACGCCGAGCTCAGCTATGTCACTTATGTGAAGGTTTTTCAACTACCCTCTTTGATGAGGAAGAGGGGTTGGATTGGATAGGGAAGTATAGAGCTGAGCTTCGAAAATAATTTGACCTTGCCAGCAGATGGCTTGGTGCAGGAAGGAATGTGTCTCCGAAGAGCAAGAGAGTATTTTTCTGGTGATCACAGTTTGTTTTGGGGGAGACCAGGTTGTACTTTAGAGTTTTTTGCAGCTTTAGAGGATGTGAGTCCAGCATACATGCTGTATTTATACTCCCATATTCCGCAGCTGGTGCTCCTACCCACCTGCCTGGATAACACCACCTGTCCTTGTGCTACTCCCCATATGCTCCTCCACAGCCCTCCTTGCTCGGCTTCTTCTCCACTCAGTGCCTACTCATCCCTCCTTCGTAATACCTGCTCGGTCTACCCCCAAATGCCCCTTTCTTCCATCGGCAACCCATTTTCCGTGCCTGGTACAGGTCCCTCCTGCCCGGTGTCTTGATTCACACACTTGGATGGTCTTCCTGTTGCTCAGTGTCTGGATATCTTTGCTTGATACACATCCTCCCACTCAGTGCCTTGTCCCTGGTTACTTGCAGACCTTTTCCCTTATTATCTATATGTTATCCCGATTTTCCTTAGAGTCTCCGTAGTCGATGGCTCAGTGTAGCCCTGGTCTTGAGTGAAAGTGCTTGGTCTGCTTGTGGTTTAGATGCATTATTTCTTGGTACATGTCTTGTGTTGGATCCTGCCCTCTGGGACTTCACGTCGCCTTCATGGCATAACTGGTATGTCATCCTGCGGATATATTGCATAATCCGTAGTTCATGTGTTTGATTCAAGTTCCAGGTTCATGACACGCCTAACCAACATCTTTTTCCCTACCAAGCTAATCTCCAGTCCTCATGTCACCTGCATAGCATAGTTGGTATGTTGGTGGAATTATATTATATAATCCGAAGTTGCATGTTCGATTCGTGCTGCGCAGTTATTGTTTAAAACCTTTGCCTTTTTCTTGTCGCTGCTCAGTTCCTTGGTTTTTTTATAACTTGCTTCTTCGCCCCTGAGGTTGCGGTTTAATTGGCAGATTCTTGCTGTGGCCATTTTCTCTTTTCTTCTTTGTTATATTTTTCTGCTTGGTGCCCTCTGCTCAGTATGCCTCTTTCTCGCTTCCTTTTCAATATTCCGGAGCAATCACAATGTGATAGCTCACACCGTGATGTCCAGACCTCTGACCAAATTACTGAGGACTGTTATTGAGTTTATATGGGGAGATAAAGAGCAAGCCTCCATGGATGCAATAATATTTGTTGTAAGTAACTGTGGGGCTTTGAAACCACTTAATTATAAATGTTTATCAGACATATTCCTAGTGGTCAATACTTCTTGGATGGCCGTAGGGTACAAAGTTTACCAAGTAGACCCAGTGGACCCTAAAAAGTAATACACCAAGTTCGGGTCAATCCTCTCTAAATGAATGCTAGGCAAGGTTCTCTCAGCCAAAGTGGGAACTTTATGGGTTGAAGCGGGCACTGGAAGCAATGCAATATTGGCTTCTAGGGTGTAGGAGGCTGGTAATCGAAACCAATGCCCTGTATATCAAAGGGATGCTAAGTAACCCGGGGATGGGTCTCAATGCGACCATAAATTGGTGGATTGAACAAGTCCTGATGTTCCACTTTACACTTAAGCATGTGAAGGGGGCTGCCTTCTCACCAGATGGGCTTTCGAGGAGAAGACTTCAACCAGGCAATGAGATGTACGAGAATACCGAGGCAGGGTATAACCAAACCCAATTCTGGGCAATCACCCAGACTGGGATGAAATGATCGCTCAGCCTCTGGAATTCAATGACTTCAAAGAAGACATTGATACCAAGGGAGGGTATCTGCAAGAGTTTATTCTGGCTCCAGAAGAAAATAAGAAACTTCCCCTCGCACTGGGGGCAAAAGCCAATGCATGTCAAAACCATGCGTCAAGCGCATGTCAATCGCATGTGGTGATGGTATTTATAAAGAGTCTGTTAATATTTTAATCTACATTCACAAAGTATTAGTTGATATGTATGTAGATATGCTGAACAATAAACTGGATTTGGAGGGGCTTAGCAGTGAGTCTCCAGAAATAAATGGTATAGAGAAACTTGAGATTGTTGCGAGCCGCGAGTTGGCCGTAGATGCCATCGCATGTATGCTGAACGACGGCACAATGGAGCTGTACAGGCCCAAACTACAAGTTGCGCCCTTGGCGCGCCCACGTGGAGGGCCAGCGTCACGCTGGCCGCCGTGCTCTCATTTGTCCGGCACACTGCAGGCGTCATGCACATGCCCCTGCTTGGCAGCGCTGTGGTGTGGACTGCGGTTTTGTAAACTGCCGAGTGAGGTGGTAACCCAGGCTAGTTTAGAATTGTACATCCTCTAGGGGGAATATTTCTGTCGCTGTGAACAGTGCACCTCGGTGCTAGGTTTATTTAATTCGGAGTGTAGTTTTTATATAGGAGGTGCGTGTTTCCTCAGTAAAGGTGTAATTTACAACTGGTTACCACGTTGTTAGTGCAATAGAACAGTCTTCTCAGCGTGCGCCGTCGGACCAAGCTCCACAGCTTGTCAAGAAGGGACGATTGAGCGCAATGCTGGCTCCGAATCGAGGACGCCAAGGAAATATGTGTTTTTAGAGGGCCTCCTCGGTCGTATAATCTGACTCCCAAGGTATTTGGTGTGTAGGTCGTTTTGGCTGGGGTGGAGGTCGTTTTAACAAGCTCGGTTCCTCGCCCGAGTGCTCCCTTCTTTCAACCTCTCCATAATAATATCCCAACCAATTGTCTCCTTCTCTTCTTCTCCTATCTGCCTGCTGAGGGAAAAATAATCTGATCTAGGCTAGCGGCTACACACCGAACTTGGCTGCGTCACTTTGTGTGAGGGTTTTTCAACTACCCTCTTTTAATGAGGAACAGAGTTGGATCGGATAGGGAAGTGTAGAGCTGGTTTTCGATAGTAACCTGACTTTGCCTGACAGACGGCTCAGTGTAGGAAGGAAAATGTCTCCGAGGAGCAAGAGCAATGCTGTTGAATCCGAACATTTACAATTTTGGTACCTGTGGCTTAGGAGGGCTGCCCACTGCTGCTCTTTGCCAAAGTAGGTGAAGGGCATGCACCTGCACCCACTACATTATATCCCGAAGAGTTCTTACAGCTCATATTTGTGCTATGAGCCTCCGTTCGGCGAGGCGACATGCCCCCAATATGGCAGTTACGAGTGACTCCCATACATGTGACTGATCACCTGTGTTGGGGGCACGTCGTGTCGCCGGACGGAGGTGCACAGAAAGAATATGAGTCATAAGAACCCTCTGGGGTATGATGTAGTACGCGCAGGTGCATACCCTTCACCCACTTTGGCAAAGAGCAGCAGCGGGCAGCCATCCTAAGCAACAGGTACCAAAACTGCAAATGGTCGGATTCAACAGCATTACTTATGTGTCTGAGGTCCAAGAATCACATTCGGACAACGAGGTCCCCTTCACACAGCTCGAAGGTATTATTGAATGAATATATAGCTCATTTGCAGGTTGTCTCCCCATACAAGAGTGGACCTGATCAAAAATTACGAAATTATATACTGCATTTTGTAAAATAATAATACAGGAAATCAGAGTGCCACACCTCCTGCGGAATTGCAGCGCAAATCCGCCCATATAAAATGTATGTAGATACATAGAGAATTGAGCTCAGGGCGATGGATTTGGTCAAAACCATCAAAAACAGCTTAAAACGGAAGAAAATTTGGCCGCGCCCTACGTTCCGCAAGTCGCTGTAAGTGCCAAACCCTTATGGTTTGGTGCATGGTATGTAGATGCTTTTTTACTTACACAGCACCTGTGAGATCCTCGGAGTCTTATCCTGTTCCCACTGGAATATTCTAGAACATTCACACAACATGTTCCTTAGTCATTTGAAGGAACATTCTAGTGCACCACAAGAATGATCCAATACTATGTAGAATTTTCTAGCAACTACACTCCTTAGCTATATAATGAGAGCCTGTCCTTATCTGACAGCACCACCACACCTTCACTTCAATCCACACCATAGCATCTACACTCTCACTGCTGAGCCTGCTAGCCAACTGGCCTATAGCCAATTCAACCTATCTTCCTAGCCCTAGCTGCCTATAGGAAATTGTCCTGCCTTGTGTATTTTCTTGTTAAGTGCATAGCCCACTGAGACAAAGGTCCCCCATACTTGTTTCTGTTGACTAATTTAAGTTTGAGTCACTTGCCTTGGGAATTAACGAGTATTGCTATCTGGTCTACTCAGATACGCTTTTACGACCTACACTAACCGACTAATATCTCAAAACAACACTCACGATGTCAGTAATCCATTACTGACTTATGCCTGAACTATGCTAAACCCTAACAGATATTTGCTGGACTACATTGAATGTAGGCATTTCCAATGTCAGACCAGCATAATTCTATAGGGGCAGGCCAGTCAACGGCCCACTATGTAGTCACCTGTATTTAATCGGCCGACTATAGTAGGATTTGTAGTGAACCAAGCGATTACAAAGGTAACGGGGTAGGTAGTAGACGGCGGTGGGCAACGAAAATAATAATAATAAGAAACTATATAGACAGGGGTTGTTATGGAGCCAACGTAAAGAGAGTACGTGTCAACAATAACCTGACTCTGGTATATAATGGACGGGGGAAGATAGTTCAGGTATCAGGGTCAAGGTGACATGGAGCAATGTAGTGCTGCCATTCTCCGCACCCGTGGCAAGACTTGGATCTGCAAAAGGGCTGAGTTAGTTGTGCAAGGAGAGTAGGAGGGGAACTGCACACCTACATGAAAACAGGGCTGGACTCGGACCAGCCTTGTGCTCCTTCATGGCGCCGATAAGCCGAACATGCTCCAGCTGAAGTTTGATCATGCATCTTGAAGTGATAGGCAATCTCATGAATAGAGAGTGCAAGGTTCGTGCAAATGGTCTGGTCCAGGCATAAAATGGCCTCATCGGAAAGCTTGGGAAGACTTTGCCAATCAAATGAGATGTGTCGGCTCCACTCCTTCACTTCACTGAATGAAAATGAACTCTATGATCCAGATTGTGAACTTGTCCCACACCATGTCAAAAAAAGTCATGAAAAAGTTCTAAGTTCTTCACCTACTTTTCTTTACATTTCAAAAAAGTTATGGAAAAGTTCCCAGTTTTTGTCTACTTTTCGCTGAATTTTGATGCAAAACCCGAAAAAAAGTTCACAATTCTTTTCACCAAGAAACTCGAAATGTTCAACTGGTGATCTTTCAGGGTCCAGTGGGCTGAGGCAGCGCAAACTGGGGAGGTTAAGGGGTAGATCCGGAAGACCATCACTGTTGCCGGACCATTAGAGAATGTGTAATTGCGAGCACAGCGAGCATTTCTACCCTTACCACGTGACCAGGCAGAGGGCTAAGAGCCGGAGCAAACAATTGCAACAAAAAAACATACGTGGCTGACGATCCTTCGGGGAAAGAACGGCTTCAAAGTCGTTCAATCGATGAGATATTGTGATGGGGATACTTCCATTCGACGGGGCTTTGTCTGGTGATTCAAATGGTGCCGGACTTTGGGCTAACAGGGGGGAAAGTTCCGAAAACAATTCGAGCCAGGTAAAAGGGGTGGTCTAGACTGTGGCGGTGTCGGTCCATCCGCTGCGCGAGCACACCGCACTTTTGGTGGATCCATATTATTCAAGATGCAGCGTCAGCCGCAAAACCTGGATACAATCTTCGATGGAGGGGGACTCTCCACTGAACACATTTAATTGTGAATGGGCGAAAGGGTATGGGTACTGGTATTAATGACAGTAACATCCAGATTGCGCAGTCTGGGTAGTCTCTTATTCCTGGTTCCGGTTTTACTGGTTCCGGGCCTCAGATCAGTAATGAGCTTATGTCCCTCTGTCCTTTTTCCAGAACATTTGAGGCATGAGAGGGTCGGGTCGGG